ACTGTATCAGACTTGTTACAGGGTTGTTCTAACAAGTCTGATCATAGTTAATAGAGGAGATGGTTTGGAAACTCGTTAGCATTACAATAAAATGACATTAAACCTCATTATCTATGTTGTTCAGGTTTATGCAAAAATGTGGTCTTTCATCGTTACGTGCATATTGTATTTTTCTCAAGTCAACCAATAGGAATGTTCAAAGTCATGGATGGGCAATAGGACAAAACCGTTGCTATTGGCTGGTTGAGCAAAAATACAATACGCACGTGACGATGAAAGACCACATTTTTGCATAAACCTGAACAAAAACATAGATAGTGAGGTTTATTGTAATGCTAATGAGTTTCCAAACCATCTCCTCTATTAACTATGGTCTGATACAGTCATGATATAACAACAATGTTACAAGGTTGACGACACAAGGTTGTAACAGTTGATTAGAATACGCGATTACAAAATATTTGGGACGAAAACTGACTTTAGAAATATAATACGAAGATCGGAAGTAAATGTAGTACATTTTAAATAATATACTCGCAAAAAGTTTGGAGGCAAAAAGCATAAAGCAAGTAAGCAACCTATGCCCGAACGCATTCCGGTTAATTCCGATTTAATGTGTTGCCGCTGGAATAACTGATCGCGGCCGAATATTTTGTGTTTACTTTTCTGACTCGTTTAATTAATACAGTTCGACACGACGACACTCTGGTTCGACACCAAAGGTTCGACACAAAATAAACTTTCTTTCCGTTCAATTCGGATATATAAAATATGGCATTTCAGCATGACAACAAATCAGGTATTTATTTAAATTTTATGTTGCTTACAACTGCTAAACAAACAAACAGAGGCTAGTTTTTATTTATTACAAGCTGATTGTAATGTTAAAAGTCAACATACTGTATTCTTGCCTATATGTTCCATAGACCTCCATAGTAGACCGCTCACAGTCATATTTTGGACCATATTTTGGACCATAATTTCGACTCTCTTTGGGGTTTTTTACATGTCTGCGATGAGGGAGTGAGGGGGTTCAAACAATCGCGGCCCAAGTCCGCGATGAGGGATTTGTCGACGGCCCCTAAATCCCGAAGATTTAAATTATTCATTTAATTGCGACACGTAACAAATGTTTCAACCTTTTAAGATTTTATTTTTGCGAAAAAGGTATGTATGTGCGTTGATTAGACGCTTGTGAACATTGAAACAGATTGTTAAGCGATCGTAAGGTAATATTAAGGTTATAAGCTCAGCTGGGCACTCGCTCAGTCATAAATTTCAGGAAGCAGGTTAAGTGGTTTCATTTTCACTATTAAAAGGGCCATATTAATGTGTCGAAACGTACCAATATCGAAGATATGGGCCAATCATAGGTGTATGAGATAATTTGTCATGACATTAAATGTTGAGATATTAATATTAACCCATTAAGTTGCATTAATGTACAGCCAAGTGCACATTTGACTGCCAACTACCTATGACTGCTGATATGTACAATAATTTGCTCTTAAAATTTCCCAAATTTATAGGTATGGAACTCATGGATGATACATCATCGGAACTACCAATGAAACGTGAAAAGCAGGAACCAAACAACAAGTGACAACGCTGTGGATGTTCCATATCAAATATTCAATGATCCAATTCATGGCTTTATTAAAGTTCACCCTCTACTGGTTAAGATTATCCATACACCTCAGTTCGAACGTTTGAAAGATATCAAGCAATTGGGCCTCTGTTACTGGGTTTTTCCTGGTGCTTCCCATAACAGGTCAGCCAATAGCTATGGTTGGTCACTGTCAGTTTTGCCAACAGGTTCAGTTTTGGGGCAGGAAGGGTAGGCCCCCTTGCTATGTCCCTGTCAGCCAGTCAGTCAAATTATATCAGTTCACTACAGATTGAGAGGTATACAATTACCTGAAAAATACAAGGAGAATTTCTCCTCTATGTTTTGAGTGAAGCCTTCATCACAAAGTTAGTAGTGTGGGCCACGAAAACTGTTTGTCAGTCTATTAGTCAAACAGGTGATTAGTCTGTGAACTCAGATGTCATTTCTATGCTCGGAGTGAAAATTAAACGTCAGAAATGCTGTTTGGGTTCACAGACTAACTGGTGATAAGATGGTTTCTAAACAAAGATATACACTGTTTTAGGTAGTTCAGATACAAACTGCAACAGTTATAAGGGATACAATTTTATGCATCATTTTAAACACATGTAGGTTTGAACACTGCCTCGGTACAGCACATCTCTGTGGCAAACTAATTGACACCCTGTGTAACCTGCACCGTGGTGAAATTGAAATTACCAAGAAAGAATCGCTCTGCATAAAAATTGCTGGCTTGTGTCACGACTTGGGACATGGACCATTCTCACATTTCTTTGATGGTGTATATATCCCACGTGCGATACCTGGTTCCCAATGGAAACACGAGAAGGCGTCCTGTGATATGTTTGATCACATGATTGCATCAAATCCTAGCCTGGCTGAAAGTTTTGAAGAGGAGTATTTGGGCAGAGAAGAGATTGATTTTATTAAAGAATTGATTCTAGGTTGGTGCACTTGTTTGGTTGAATTGGTTTCACTAAACACTGGTTTACACTATCGAACTTTCACAGTGGGAATTTTGCATGGGTAAATTCTAAATTTTGAAGGATTTGTAAGAAACGTTTGAGGAAATAGACCTTATGCATAATAATGTCACAGGGCTTGATGCCTGCGAGGAATGCTTGGTCTTAGTAGTCATCACCCGGGAAAATTAAACAATTCAAAATGGCAAGTGTCTATATCACTTGTGGTACTTTTATGGATTCAAAAAGAGCGTAAAAAGTTAGTTAATAAGTTCAAAAAATTTTTTGATTTAGTGCAATAATTTCAAAGATACAGGCCTCTAAACTACCTACAGTTCCCGAGTCCCTGGCTCCTATTGACAATGGACAGTTTTGAAAAAGGCCAAATTCAATAGCTGTGTTTAGACCCCAGGAACTGTAGGTAGTTTAGAGGCCTGACAGGCCTGTATCTTTGAAATTATTGCACTAAATAAAAAAATCTTTTGACCTTATAAACTAACTTTTTACACTCTTTTCAAATTAATAAAGGTCCCACAAGTTATATAGACACTTTAAGAAGTTGATGGAGCAGATGGTGGTCAACTGGCAGTTACCAGGGCAGAAATGTAGTATTCAGTAGACCAGATATAGTTTAATGAACAAGCTTTCATTGGTAAGGATGCAACTACCTGAAAAATATAATTAAGGAGAATTTCAATATTTCAAGCGAAGGCCCTTTATCTGGACTACCATTAATGCAAGAGTCTCCCCTTGATGGGTGAAGTAATAAAGTCAGATGTATTCTGGCATTTGCAGCTTCATTTTTCTTGCTCTTGCCAGTGTGAATATTCTGAAGTTGAGCACCATCAGCTGCCCTGTAACCAGTGGTGTAGCCAGGGTTTACAAAGTAGGGGGGGGGGGGGCAAGTTGAGTGCCAAAGGTGTGAACACTGTATGGGGTCCAGAAAAGTAACCGTATCCTCTGAAACGTTATTTCGTGCATTTTGGGGTGAGATTTTACAAAATTCAGATGATTATAACGTCATAATTCGGTCAAGAATGCCTGTGTCTTCAGTTATTAAATTGCAAATAATAAGCTGGACATGAAATCAGATCAGTGTTACTCCCCCCCCCCCCAAGTTGAGTGCCAAAGGTGTGAACACTGTATGGGGTCCAGAAAAGTAACCGTATCCTCTGAAACGTTATTTCGTGCA